CTTTGAAAAGGGCCGCGAGTACGTGCGCGCCGTCTCTGCCGCCAAGGTCGAGCGCATGCTGGCCAAGCCCTTTGTCGACGCACTGTCGGGCCATGTTGACGGCGTCTACGCCATGGCCAAGCACCCGACCGTCCTCGACCGCCTGTACTCGGGCTCGGCCGACGGCGAAGTGCGCATCTGGTCGCTTGCGCAGCGCAAGACGACACTGGCAATCCCGCATGCGCACAGGGGGATCGTCAAGGGGATTGCGGCGGTCCCGTCGTCCAACTCGTTCCTGTCGTGTGGGACGGACCGTGTCGTGAAACTGTGGTCGACGGATACCGACGAGGACGCGCACCCGGACCCGGCCGTACCGGTCTCGACGTTTATCGGCCGCAACGCCTTCAACGCCCTCGACCACCACCGCCGGCAAAACATGTTTGCGACTGCTGGCGTCGCCGTCGAGCTCTGGGACCATGACCGGTCGAACCCCGTGCAGACCTACTCGTGGGGCACCGACACCGTCTCGTCGATCCGGTTTAACCACACGGAAACGTCCGTCTTTGCGTCCACCTCGACCGACCGCGCCATCATCCTCTACGACACGCGCATGTCGCAGCCGCTCAAGAAACTGTTGCTCGACCTGGCCTCCAACTCCGTCTGCTGGAACCCCATGGAACCCTACCGGTTCGCCGTCGCCAACGAAGACCACAACGCCTACTACTTTGACATGCGCAATCTCGACCGCGCCGTCAACATTTTCAAGGACCACGTGTCCGCCGTGCTCGACCTGGACTTCAGCCCAACGGGCAAGGAACTCGTCACGGGCGCGTACGACAAGACCTTGCGCATCTACGACGTGCAGTCGGGCCACTCGCGCGACGTCTACCACACGAAGCGCATGCAGCGGCTGTGGGCGGTCCGGTTTTCCATGGACGCCAAGTATGTGCTCTCGGCGTCGGACGACGGCAACATTCGCCTGTGGAAGGCCGAGGCGGCCGCGACGACGGGCGTCATGAACGCGCGGCAAAAGGCGAGTGTCGAGGCGGCACACGCGGTCGTCGCCAAGTACAAGCACTTGGACGGCGTGCGCAAGATTGTCAAGTCGCGCAAGGTGCCGAAAGCCATCAAGAATGCCGCACATTTGAAGCGCGTCATGTTGGATGCGCGCAAGAAGAAGGATAACAATGTGCGCAAGCACGCCAAGAACCCCGATTTGGTGCGCCCGCGCGTGCCCGAGCGCGAAAAGCATATTGTCGGCACCCAGGATTAGAGATGGTGGGTGGGGTTCGTTTGGGCGTGTCTTGGTTTGCGATTTGATATCTGTACATAAAAACACTGTTTTCTTGGCGCATCACGGCCTCGGCGACACACAAAGACGGAATCCAAAAACGCCAGCGTCTGTATACATTCGATATCGCGACCAGCGACGCGCTCCACACTTCCCTATGCAACAGCAACCCATAAACGACTTTCTCCCGACGTCCTCGCGACCGCGACTCGCACGCGCCGCACACCGGCGCGTTGCCCATGACACGCGCTCATTTGGCCTCGTTGATGGTGCCGCACTTCTTGCACGTGCGCAGCGCCGGCGTCTGCGCGTACTGCTCAATCACGGGCTTGAGTTGCGTGCCGAGATCCACGCAGTAGAACGAGTCTTCGTGCACGATGGCCTTGCAGTTTGAGCAGTACCATCTCAGTGCATCTACGCATCGCATCGCGTGGAATCAGCATCGACACTCCATTCACCACCACGACCGCTCCCAAATCGTGTCATGTCGCGTACGCACCGTTTTTCCCCGCGGGCCGCGGCCGTTCAATCACGATCCCAATCGTATCCGCAAACCGCACGGGGTTATGCGGCGTGTCCGGCGGCAACAGGTACATGTCGCCCTCCTTGATGACCACGTCGCGGAAGGATCCGTCGGATTCGACCACTTTGAGCAGCATATCGCCCTTGACTTGGAAAAACCATTCTTCGGTCGGGTTGATGTGGTAGTCGGTGCGCTTGTTGGGCCCGCCGACGAGCATCACGATAAAGTCGTTGCCGCGGTAGACGCAGTAGTTGTTGACGGGCGGGGCGAGCAGGTGCTTGTTTTCTTCGAGCCAGCGCGGCAGGTTGAGAGGGTTCGGGAGCATCGTGGGCGGGTGGGTTGGGTTGATGGTGGGTGCAGACTTGGCGAGGGGGGAGAGAGGAGCTGGTTGGTCGCAAAAGCAAAAGGAAAGGTTGGGGCGCGGTCGAGGCGACAAAGCAGGTGACCGCGATCTGAAAGTGCTGGCACAATGGTCCTTATACAGGTTTTTCCAATTCTCAATGGAGATGGGAACAAACATCAGACGACGTGGCGGAGTGGTCTAACGCGTCCGACTACTAATCGGATTCCTTCTGGAGCGCAGGTTCGAACCCTGCCGTCGTCGAACTCTAGCAGCGGATCTTTCCATGTCAATGGTCTTTGCGCATCTGTGCTGTTTTGATCGGCTCGTTTTTACTCCAGATACTTCTTGCCGCGGCAACGAGTCATGTGCGTCGACGTGACCACCATGCACTCTCGCCCTCTCTCGCCATCCTCCTCACCGAACTCCATCCAACCACGACCACCAGCATACCCCACTTACGGCCAAAATAATGCCCTCGAAACCATCCGCACCCAAAAAGCCCGGCAGCTCGCTTGCTGCGGCTTTGTCCTTTCTGGACTCGACCAAACCCGTCGACCTCGACCCGGAATCCGCCGCCTTCCGCGGGTCCGACGACGACAACGACTCGGACGACGAGCGCGACCGGTCGCACTATGCGGCCGTCGGAAAATCTGCCCTCCGCGCGGCCGTCGCCGCCCCGATCGACGAGCACGGCAAGTACGCAGGCCGTAGTGTGAGCCGCAAGGCCGTGTTCTCGGATGCGAGTGACGACGTCGACGACGAGGATGACGGCGAGGATGACGAGGAAGAGAGTGACGAGAATGACGAGGGCGACGCGAGCGATACCGAGGACCTCGTGTTCCGTGCGCCGTCGGGCAAGTCGTCAAGTGGTTTGGATTGGGGCGATGCCGCAGGGCTCGATGGGGATATGAGCGACTACGAGCCGGCCGAGGCGTTTGGCCGGTCCGACGACGATTCGAGTGACGAGGATGAGGATGACGCGGCGAGCGGCAGTGACGGTGACGAGGATGTGGAAACGACGCCGCGCGAGGAGAACCTGACGCGCAAGGCGCTCGATACGGCCGATGCCGCGGGCACCGACGCGGAAAAGGGCGCACACATCAAGGCGCAAATGGTAAAGCTCCCTCCCTTCCCTCCGACCCACCCGCGTTCTCGATCCCGCGCTCACCCCTCTATTTCGCAACGTAGGAACTGTGGGACGCCCTGCTCGACCTGCGCATCCGGCTGCAAAAGGTGATTGCGATCGCCAACCGATTCCCGGACCCAGACGAGTTTTCCGATTTCGCGGCTGGGAACGAGGACGTGCTCGAAGCCGCGCAGGCGACGCTCTTGGACGTGGCTGGTAGTGTCACGACGGCGCAACAGGTGTTGGTCGACCAGAACCCGCTCGTGCAACGCGCGCTCGGTGAGGACGTACCAAAGCTTGGTAAGCGCAAGACCATGGATGAGACGTGGGCGGCGGTCACGCAGTTCCAGGACGGGTACGTCTGGCGACCTTTGATTCCCAGCGTGTGGCGCCAACCTGACTTGGTGTGTGTGCTCGAATCGTAGGTTTCAGGCATTCCGCGCTGACGCGCTCGAAAAGTGGCACGAGAAGGTGAGCGCGACAGCAGGCGTCCCGCTGACCAAGAAATTCAAGGCGATCAACACGTCCCTCGCTCACCAGCTCGAGTCGGTCTTGAGCGACCGCGACCGGCTTGTGAAGCGCACGCAGATCAAGCGCGCTGAGTACCGCATTTTGACGCTGCGCTCCCCCACCGACTCCTCGTCCACCCCTACCACCACGACTGCCGCCACAACCGGCGGCAAGGAGCGCGACCTCGAAGCCGCGGCCGAAGCCGCGGCCGCGTCCAAGACGATTCGCATCGACCCGGTCCCGTCGATCTTTGACGATACCGACTGGTACTCGGTGTTGCTCAAGGAAGTAATTGATCGCAAGCTCGCGTTGAACCCGTCGGCTGCTGCCGCGCATGTTGCGACTATGCGTGCCGCATCGCGCACGAAACGCGCCGTCGACACGCGCGCGTCCAAGGGCCGCAAGTTGCGTTTCGCGCCGCACGAAAAGTTGCAGCATTTCATGGCGCCGATGCCGGTCGCGCCGTACTACAAGCCCGCGCCTGGCGCCGGGTCGGCGGCGGTCGGTGGGATGGGCGGCAGCGAGCGGTCTTTGGTCGCGACGGGCAATTTGGCGCCGCAGATTTGGCACGAGGAGATGATCGAGGAGCTGTTTAGCTCGTTGTTTGGCGTGAAGGAGGAGCGCGTGCGCAAGGAGGACGTGGAGCGCAAGAAACGCGAGGCTGAGCGGCTGGCGAAACAGCAGGCGAAGGTTGGCAAGCTGCGGTTGTTTGGGTGAGCAGTGCCAGGAAAGGAGATAAGACAAAGGGCTGGGAATCGGAGTTGGAATACATCTGGTGTGCTTTGAATGACCCAGAGTGCGTTGATTGATTCCCTGATTAATCAAAGGCCCATCGCCGTCACTTTACCCCGAACAACAACATACGGCCTACCACGAATCATTGGGATCGTCCTGGCCTCGATGCTTTATCTCCCTGTAACGACGCGCGGGCGTCTCTCATCTTACCTAGCTGACTGCAGTGATGACCAGCAGCAAGCACGCGCGTTCTGCAGGCCGCGCGGTCTTTTTCGATACAAGACTCTTGCATCCTGGCGCATTTGATAAAGCGGGAATAAGGGATGCAGGAAGACGACGGATGGAGTCATAAATCAGAGTGAAAATCGAGCTGGTGATGGTCAGAGGCAAACATCCACGTCATTTGGGTCAAATTAAGCCATTTAGCGCTCCAAATGTAATCAAAGGTATATATAAACTTTTAGGGAGGCTCTTGACATGTCAAAAATGACTGGACAACATGGCCGAGTGGTTAAGGCGTCTGACTACTAATCAGATACCCTTGTGGTGCGCAGGTTCGAACCCTGCTGTTGTCGTGAAATTTTGACAAATGTGCATTGCTTTAATTTGTGCGTTTCCTGCACTGTCTTCTTGTTCTTTTTCTTGTCCCAATCAGGTTCGAGCTGAGCCAGTTTTTATGTGAGAGTGCGCGCGAGCTTGACATTCCCCATGACGTAGCGTCAAAAGCACATGGTCGATCCTTACCTACATCCGCCAATGCACGCAGGCGGATCAAGCTGCCTCTCAAATTGTGATGCCTTCTCTCAACATGGCAGCATGGGCAGAGCAACCAAGGCCCCTGACGTGCAGGTTCGAACCATGCTGTTGTTGCAAGATCACAAAGTGTCGACGAAATTGTGCGTTTCACCTGGCAGGGTATATATTGAATGTGATTTTGATTACTGATTTTTCGAGCAGTACGGAGCAGAACAGCTGCATGTTGGCCTCGGTATAATATCTCTCGTATCCGCAAAAAAAAAAAAAAAAAAAAAAAAAAAATGGATTCCCGCGTGGTGAGCCGCTCGCGGCCGCCAACGGCAAGCCTAGGACAGAACACCAAACAGTGCATTATTGCCGCCCCTCCAAAGTGCCAACAAATATGAGCGTCTATCCATAATACCCTCCACCACTTCCCGCTCCTACTCCACGCTCGCCCGTCCGCGCTGGCCTGTTTCCTCCAGTGTTTGGTAACGGCCGAAACGGCGCCGCCCCACCCATCGGCCCATTGGCCGCTGGCAGATACGATCGTGGCGGCGACGCGACGAGTGGAATATCCACCGCGGCCGACGGTAACGGCGACGGCGCCATCCCATACGCGGGCGCCGCGGCGGGTGGTGGCAGGACGTACGCGGGCGGCGGGATCGGCCCGGAGACGGTGCCGCGCGAATCTAATCAGAAATACGCGTGTGAGTGGATGAGTGGAGAGTGGGGGTGCGAGATTGAGGGTGATACATACAGGATCCGGAATGGTCAATGGTCGCGGTCATCGCGTTCGATCCGTGGTGCGTCGACATGGCCGTCCCGTAGTGTGACGACGACGACGATCCGCTCGGCTTGTCCTTGACCTACATAGTACCGGGGCGCAGAAGATGCGCGTGAGTC